ATTCTTGGTGAAATTGTTTCTCTTTTAATGTTTAGAACACATCTTCCCATTCTTTCATTGCTTGTTGTTTCAGTTGAGAGGTCTGACATGAGTCTAATGGGGTAGCCTTTGTAAGTAACTCTACATTTCTCCCCTTGCCATTTTTAGAATATGGTCTTTGTCTTTAATTTTTATCAGTCTGGCTATGATGTGCCAGAGGAAGATCTTCTTATGGTGGTTTTATTTAGGGTCCTTTTCATTTCTTGGTTCTAAATTTCTCCATGTTTCCCTATATTTGGAAAATTTGCAAATAGTATTTCATGAAAGAGGCTTTCCATACCTTTAGCAGATTTTTCACCTTCTGGAATATACTTTATATGGATACTTGGATATTTCATGGTGTCTAGAACTTCCTGTTTTTTTTTTTTTTCTTCCTTTTTAGTGATTTGGTCTATGCTGGAGACTTTATCTTTGAGGTCAGAAATTCTTTTTTCTCCATAGTCCAATCTGCTGTTAATGCTTTCGAGTGAGAAATCAATTTCCAAATGATTTCCTCATTTACTGGAACCAACTGTCTGTTTCTCTTGCATCTCATTGAGTTTTGTCACTATGAATGTTCGGAGTTCTTTTTCTGACGTTTCTCTGTATTCCTCGGCGTTGTCCACTGTTGGTGAGGGGCAACTACCCTCACCTGGTGAAGAGCTACCACCTTGTTTCCTCATGTTTCTTCAAGATCTGTGCTAGTTTCTAGTCATCTGCTGCATGTCCCACTTTTTCTATTTATTGGAGTAGATCCTGCAGTAGTGGGGGAGAAAATCTCACCCTTAGTTGCCGGGTGTGTTCCTATAGGGGACCGTGTCTCCCAGGTCAGCACAGTTATGGGTCACTTCAGGTGCTTGGCTCCTCTACCAAGCTTCAGTCTGGATGAGGTGGTAACAAGCTAGGGAGAGAAAACTCGGTCATGATCCAGGCATGCTCTGCGCTTGCGCAGCACGGGGGGCGGTGTACCAGAAGTTCTGGTGTCTCCCACAAAGATGGGCAGCGTCCTTTAGTAGTCTTTTACTGTACTTAATTTTCTGCAATTTTGATTCAAAATATTTGAGATTTATCTATGTTGGTATGTTTTAGCTCAAAGTCCTTTATTTTCACTGACAGCATTTCAATTTCTGATTATATCTGTATTTACTTATTGATATCTGGTAATGGACATTTTGGTTGTAGTGAATGGTGTTTACTCTGTTTTGTTTTTGGTTGCTATAAAATAAGCAAATCATTACAAAAGTCATTGTTTTAATATGATATTGGGTATGCACATATAAACAACTGATTACTGCATTCAACATAGAGTAAAAAAGGTAAAAAAAAAAAACCCAGGAAAATTAAATCTAAACTTCTAGTAAAAATAGGATAGACTGTTTAAATTTCTGTTTTTTTTTTTTCTTTTTTTTTTTTAAATAAACCCAGTATTTACCTTGGCTCTTTCCTCTAAGGAAACATAAAGTACTTACACAATTCAATTTTAAACACAGTAGGTTCAAATTTTTTTAACCAAGTGATGATTGTGAATTGAGAGACTGTATCATGTGGAACCATAAAGAGGGTAGGCTGTAAGTAAGAAAAAAATGGGCTTCTTGATCTGTTATTAATTAGCTGAGAGACCTTGGCCAAGGTAGTGAGTAAGCTCCCCTTGAGTAAAAAGGTGTTATCTGTTGAATCCATTTTATAGGGTTGTTAAAAAATACAATATAAACACATGAAATCCAAGGGTTTGGCATATAAATGGACTTCAAAATTCATGGAAATGCAATTATAATACTACTTTATTTTGGTACAAAAATTTTAAAAATCCATACATAATGTTTTATAGTACTCATTTTCCAATAACTTTTTGAAGGCCCCTGTCTCTAAGAAAGCATTAATACATGGGGAACTATCTCCACATGTACATATTTATATATGGGGCATTTTTATAACTTCAAGAGTCATATATCATTAAAATTTGAAAACAATCCTTGGCATGCAGAATTCTAATCCTCCAAAATCTGAGCTAACATCGGACACCAGTGGGAAAGAACAGTTCCTTTATTCTTAACACAATTTAGGATTTATGAGCACAGTTCTAAGGTAGTTGTCTTGTTTGCTAGTAACCAAACGAGTATGTCTTTTGTGATTATTACTGAGATACCAGTTGTGCGAAGACTCTTTGGGAATCTTTGCACTTGAAAATGAGGGCTAACAAATATAATGGTAGACATTTCCGCAGCTTGACTCTCTTAGATGTCACATGTTGCCGTTCTTTTCTTTTTTAATTGTCTGAGGAAAATTTTATTAGTCATACTATAAATAGTGCATAATACTTTTTTTAATAGTCATGATTTTTTTCTTTCTTTATTTCTTTCTTTTTTTTTTTTTTTTTTTGCTTGAGACAAATGTGTCTTTTTTGTTTTTCCGCAGCTTGACTCTCTTAGATGTCACATGTTGCCGTTCTTTTCTTTTTTAATTGTCTGAGGAAAATTTTATTAGTCATACTATAAATAGTGCATAATACTTTTTTTAATAGTCATGATTTTTTTCTTTCTTTATTTCTTTCTTTTTTTTTTTTTTTTTTGCTTGAGACAAATGTGTCTTTTTTGTTTTCTAAGAAGAGAAGGCTGAGACTCTCCCAAATGCAATGTTCTCCCTTAGAAATTACTCGAGGGGCTGTGAAGATGTGTGAGTAAATATACACGTGTCTCCATGTAGCCAAATTGATTAAAACCAGTGAGCAAATCTGATTTGTTTATTCAACTGCAATTTGAGCAGAAGTGTCGGGGTGGGGTAGGTGGTGGTGGTGTGTTGGTTCTGACAGAGGAAACAATCTTTTCAACAGGTACAGTAAAAAAGAAACTGACATATGTCAGAAAATGGTGTACATACCCTTATCTCTAAAACCTATATAAAGAAGAGAGGCAGAGAAAGGGAGAGAGGGAATGAGAACACATGCCCCATGGGGGACAGGCATGTTTCATTCATTTCTCCTCCAATTTCTCCTACCTTTTGTGTTTTTCAAATTGCTGGGTCCTGGACTCAAACCAAGCAGTTGCCATCTGATCCAGCTACCTTAGCAATCATCCCACCATCTGGGCCAAATGGTTGCTTTTTAACACTGGAAAGGGACCAGGACTCCGCTGTTCGCTGTTCATGCTCTACCAGGATTCTGAACAAGGATGAGCATAATACAGTCTGTGCAGAGCTGGGCGTGTGGGGCTGGATCTCCCATAATGCCAGAGTTCTGGGGCAGGAATGGGGTGGGTCTAAGCCATCTTTTGTATGCTAATGGACATTCACAGCAGATGTGTGCGAATTAACACAGACTGAACTATTCTTGAAGAAAGACATTTAGCTCCTTATTGCCTTCTGTGGTGGATTGTTCAGCGCTAAGGGAACACACCAGGCCGGGACCAAATCTCCTGCTGCCCTATATAGTTTTTACAATCTCCTTTTAAATAACACAAAGTCGGGGCAGTCTCACTGTCAGACCAGCACTTCTTCGGGAATCTTCCCATAATATGACAGATAGAACCATCCCTAATACAAATCAACACTATTATTTTCAAAGTAAGCACTTTAAAAGGTTGCTTGAACAAGAAAAGACAAATTTTCTGAGCTGTATGCTATTTGGCAGTTAATGTTAGCTCACACTGAGAATTGCATTGCACTGAGTGTTACATTTTATTCTGGTGTATTTTAAGTTGAACTGGGTAAACAGTGTTAGATGTTTGATTAATGTTAATATGCAAGATGCCATGATTAGGTATGATTGTTCTTTTAAATTACCACACAGATTTTTTTTTAAATTCTTCCTTTGATCTCTAACAGGCTGTAAGAACAAAATTTGTAATTTAAAATATATTGACTTTGATTCAGAAATTCATGTTGCAAATTTATTGATACCTAAACTATATTGCTCGATGGTGGAGATAATTTTTGTCTGCAAGATATGCTGCCAATGTCTGTCTCTTTTATATTGTGTCTAATGCCATTTTCTCTTTTAAATTCTTAACATCTTAATTTAAGGTGGGGACCTTATATCTAATATTTTATGCAAACTTTTCTGTGGTAGCAAGGAGATTGACCTCGCGAGGTATTGCCCTTAAATAAGCATAGCTGAATAAGGATTAGTTTCCTTGTTCTGATAGTATCTGTTTTTTTGTTTTGTTTTGTTTTGTTTCTTCCTGTAGCCATGGGATTGGGAACTACTTTTTTGTTTATTTTTCGACATATGCAATCATTTTTACTGTTTGTTTATGTTCCACTACATACTCCAACTTGGGGTGGGGGTATATTTTCCAGCTTCATTTAATAATTCTCTTGTTTATTTGTGATTAACACATAATAATCATACACACGTATAGTTTGATTTTCAGTACACCACAATACACCCAGAACATTTTAAAAATATTTTATTTCACTTTATTTATTTATTTAAATTTGATCAGAGAGGGATGGAGTGAAAGAGAGAGAGACAGAGAGAGAAAGTGAGAAAGCAAGCCGCCAGGTCCGGGACTCAGACTGTAGTCGGCCATGTAGGAGTCCAGCACCCTTAACCACCACACCATTTGCCAGATCCCACACCTGGAACATTTTAAGAAAGGATTTCTGCCATTGGATTCTAATTTTGTGTGTGTTCCCTAGTTAATTCTGTGCTCACTTGAACCAATGTAGAGCTCAATAAAGGAGAAATTCCACACATAACCTTCAGTATTTTAAAAATATGTTACTGTGCAGTGCTCTGTAACTGTATGTTTTGACAAGGCCCACTTCCACCGAAATGTATATAAAGTCAGCAGGCAAGTTCTCAATCATCTAATGATCAGGTATTTCACTTGTCGTCTCATATCAAACCATAATTTTCCTATGGTAGCATTTAACTTACCTCACTCTAGCACTATTAATGTATTTCTGTAGCTTGTAAAACATCTAGTTATCACTCTGCCTATTCTAGCTTGTTTGTACTAATGATTTATTTTCGTTTTCTCTAGGATATAGACCCACAGTTAACTGGATTTGATGTATAAGAGGGACATCTACAGTCAATGGCCACTTGCGCCACGTTGCTACGATGGAAAACAGAATGGTCAATAGGATATGGTGTGATGAATAGTGATGATTGAAGATGCTGCTTCGATACATGCAAAATCAATGGGAGATATTTGCTGCGTGAGCAGCTGTCTGAGCTTTTCTTGACAAGCTCGCCTTTAGGAAATTGGAGGCATATTGTACCATTAGACGGTCTTTCTCACGTGGATATAAATACGTTTGCCTGACTGCAGCCAGTCAGCCAGACAACTAATGTGGGACCATGGCCCTGCCCGGATGCACATGGCCACGTTACGTTTGGAGAGTAGCGATGGCAGGCTTGGTCCACAGAGGAGTGGGCGCCTCATTGACTCTCTGTATGTTGGGATGTTTGCTTCAGGCTGCCCACGTGCTCTCACAGAAATTGGATGATGTGGACCCACTGGTGACTACTAACTTCGGCAAGATAAGAGGGATTAAAAAAGAACTCAATAATGAAATTTTGGGGCCTGTTATTCAATTTCTTGGGGTTCCATATGCAGCCCCACCAACAGGAGAACATCGTTTTCAGCCTCCAGAACCACCATCTCCCTGGTCAGATATCAGAAATGCCACTCAGTTTGCTCCTGTGTGTCCCCAGAATATCATCGATGGCCGATTGCCAGAAGTCATGCTTCCTGTGTGGTTTACTAATAACTTGGATGTGGTTTCATCGTACGTGCAGGACCAGAGTGAAGACTGCCTGTATTTAAACATATATGTCCCAACTGAAGATGGTGAGTTTATTCAAGGAAAAGCAGGGACATATATTTATAATTTTCTTTTAGAAGTTCTAACAGTATTAATTCCTGTGTACTGGTAGTATGCATGGCTTTTCCTGTTGGCATGTAGACATATTTTACATGCGTGCATGTCGCTCTTTTTCTTTATGTGTGTCAGTGTATCTGTTCTTTTATTTTCCCTGTGCCTACTCATTTTCTTTCTTCCACAGCACGTATATTTAGGTAGAAATGGGTTCCTAAAGTCCATTTCCTACCAAATGACTTCTGAGAAGATGCATCAACATTTCCTCATTGCATGTGCAGACTCAACAAGTTGGGGATCTTTCGCACTCAGTAAACGCAGGAGCGTGTTAAGTTAGATAGCGGTGTTGCATGTTCCGGCGGTCTGTGATGGAGCGCCATGTTATTTTCTAGTCTTCTATTCATTTTTCAGTAAAAAGAATATCCAAGGAATGTGCCAGAAAACCCGGCAAGAAAATATGTAGAAAAGGAGGTATGTATAAAAGTGGCAACAAAACATGGGGGAAAAGCTTGTAGAGGAAGAACAAGTTACTCTCCCTCAGGAGGATTTGCTGATGCTGGGAAGCAAATTGTTAGTTGACATTTGGAATTTGATGAAGCCTTGCAAGGTTTAGAAGCTGGTTTAGGCGCGCTCTAGTTGAATAGGTAACAATGGCAAAGCTCGCTGGTGGTGACTCGTGTTCTGGTGCTGGCAGTATCGGCAAGACTTGAATCTCTGCTTTGAGTTTGTGTAAATAGGAAAAGAGACAGGCTATTGAGTCGCCTTCAGAAGCCCAAATAATACTGTCTTATCAACAGGTCGACTTGGATTTCTGAACTCTTTTCTACAGCTACCCATGGTGTGTTCCTCTTTAAATTCTTCAGTTCAGTCACAAATCCAGATTTTTGTTTATTTATTCCTAGCTTCTTTTCTGCCTATAAACTTTCGCATCAGGAGGGTATGTCTGCCATAACTGCTGGCTATTACAATGATTACGTTATGATATTTTTCATACATAGTGTTTTCATTTTTAGCTTCTTTTCCAGAAGAGAATGAGATTTTGCAGATTTTATACTAAATATTTACAGTCTTGCAACTACTTTAACATTTTTATATTTATGTTAAACAATTTAAAACATAGGAAAGAACATGATTCAGAAGCTACAATTAAATCAACCTTCAAATCATCCGCTAGCCAGATTGAGCGAATGTAGACACTGACAGCTGTAAGCTTGCATCTGAATGTAGCTTGTCCACACTTCATTTTTATATAACATTCAGTAAATCACTCATAGGAGAGGATGATTTTCTATGGCAGTAAATCATCTAAGTGTTATTTTGACCTTATTCATAACTTTGTAGAATTTTCAATCTTCATACAGAAGTCATATTAATATTCTAGTGCTGCACATTCTTTCTCTCTATCCACTTTTGTCTCCGGGCTGGACCAAGTCAGATTTTATTACATCTTTCAGGGACAGGGAGTGTCTAAACGGTTCTGTTTTATTGGGATTGCCTTATACAGAAGACACTCATATACTAAATTCTCAACTATGGATTAGAATTATCCATATTAAATTGGCTTTGTTCTGTTTATGCTTTTATCTTTTGGGTTATAATGTAGATGGGATTTAACTTCCATTTTTAAAAAATCATGCCATAATTTGGGTTAAAAGTATAGAGGTTGTTAAGGCAGCTGGATCAGATGACAACTACTTGGTTAAAAGTATAGTTTATTGAAGAAGATAGATATGGAGGCGAAAGA